GCCTTCACCTTGACTCACACATAGAACTCACTTCTCCAGAGACGCATCAGTAACAGCAGCAGATCAGAGACTCGTCACAGTCACGTGTCTCCTCTGATGAAGGTGGAAGTCTACCACCCAAAAACCTGGGTTTAAGCAGGACTAGCTTCTTTTCACTCTTTGTCTCATTAAAACTAGAGTGTGTTATTGAGATGAATTACATTGTGAAGAGACAGAAACGTGTGTCTGTGTTTGTTATTGTCAGGAGCAGGACGAGGACTCTCTTCACTACGCTGCTCTGAACGTTCAGTCTTCCTCCAGACGACAGAGAGTCACGGCTCAGACAGACTGTGTTTACTCCAGAGTTCACCTGTAGCTTCACTGCCTCCACCACCGCATCTCTACAATACTTACTACATACAGTATATATGGCAAGGCAAGGCAAGGCAAGGCAAGGCAAGTTTATTTGTATAGCACAATTCATACACAAGGCAACTCAAAGTGCTGAACAAGATAGCATTAAAATCATAAATAATCACAGAACATTAAAACGAAAGATAAAAATATAAAATCCCTCAGTTGTATGCACAGCTAAACAGCACCATTTTTAACTTGGTTTTAAACATTGTCAGAGAGGAGGCCTGTCTCACATCTTCAGGAAGATTGTTCCAGATTTTAGCAGCATGAATCTGAAAAGCAGCCTCCCCATGTTTAGTTCTGACTCTGGGCACTAACAGGAGTCCAGTCCCTGTGCTCCTCAGAGTCCGGGCTGGTTCATATGGGACTAACATGTCACTAATATATTTTGGTGCGAGGCCATGGAGAGACTTGTACACAAGCAGAGCTGTTTTAAAGTCTATTCTCTGAGCCACAGGAAGCCAGTGCAGGGACTTGAGGACTGGACTAATGTGGTCGTACTTCCTGGTTCTAGTCAGGACTCGAGCTGCTGCATTTTGAATGTACTGCAGCTGTTTTACAGCCTGTTTGGAGAGACCTGTGAGCAGGCCATTGCAGTAGTCTAACCTACTGGAGACAAATGCATGGATAAGAATCTCCAAGTCTGCTTTTAGACACTATGTTTTTTGAGATGGTAAAAAGCTGCTGATGTTACTGATTTGATGTGGCTATTAAAATTTAAGTCTGAGTCCAGTATTACCCCTAGATTTCTGACCTTGTTTGAAGGTTTTAGGGAGAGAGACTGTAGATGACAGATGACGCTCTCTCTTTGTTTCTGGGGACCAAAGACAATCATTTCAGTTTTGTCTGCGTTTAGCTGAAGGAAGTTGTTTTGCATCCACTCACTGATCTGTTGGATACAGTGAAGGAGTGAGTCCACTGGTCCATGTTCTCCTGCAGTCAGTGAGACATAGATCTGAGTGTCGTCTGCATAGTTGTGATAGGAAACTTCGTTTCTGCGTATTAACTAACCTAACGGCAGCATGTAGAGATTGAACAGAAGAGGTCCCAGGATCGACCCCTGTGGGACTCCACAGGTCAGGGCCATATGATCTGAGACACAGTTTCCAATCTCCACAAAGTACTTCCTGTCTTCAAGGTAAGACCTAAACCAACTTAGGGCGGTGCCAGCGACGCCAACCCAGTCCTCTAGTCTCTGTAAGAGGATCTCATGGTCGACGGTGTCAAAGGCAGCACTTAGATCTAACAAGATTAAGATTGAGACTTTGCCTGCGTCAGTGTTCAGCCGGATATCATTTGTAACCTTGACGAGAGCAGTCTCAGTGCTGTGGTGGGGTCTAAAGCCGGACTGAAACATATCAAATGAGTGTTGATATAAGAAATCTGTAGCTGTAGTAGACAACTTTTTCAAGGACTTTCCCCATAAATGGCAGATTTGAGATGGGACGATAGTTGTTAAGTACCGTAGCATCGAGACTGCTCTTTTTTAGCAGGGGCCTGATGACTGCAGTTTTCAGGGCCTTTGGGAATATTCCAGAATTAAGGGACATGTTTACTATCTGTGTGAGTGAAGGTAACAGACTGCTCAGAACAGACTTTAGAAATCTAGTGGGTAGTACATCCAGGCTGCATGTGGAGGAGCTCAAACTGGAGATTATCTCTTGGACAGTTTGATCATTTACAGGTGCAAAGTAAGTTAGCTCAAAGAGCCTTTCTGGCTGTTGGATTGTTATCTGTGGATTGGAGACAATGGCGTTTTTGATGCCTTGAACCTTGTCATTGAAAAAATGTGCAAACTCATTACATTTACGTTTGGAAGTTAAGCTCTAATGGCATTTGAACAGGGGGGTTTGTTAATCTATTAACTGTTGAAAACAGAACACGCAGATTGTTGCTGCAGCCTTCAATCATTTCAGAAAAATACCTTTCTCTCGTACTACGTAGCACCTGGTTAAACTCGCACAACTTATCTTTGAAGATCTTGTAATCAACCTGGAGGTTGGACTTGCGCCACTTCCGCTCGGCCCTCCGGCACTCTCTCTTTTGTGCCCTGACCGAGTCTGCTTTAGCCCACGGCGCCTTCTGCTTATTTTTCACTATTTTAACCTTCACAGGAGCGATGGTGTCCAGAACCTTCAAAACACTAGAGGTGACAGAGTTAAACAGTTCATCTATAGTAGAATACGATGCATTCTCAAAGTTTATCATTCCCATAAATAGTTCACCCGTATTTTCATTTATGTGTCTTCTTCGTACAGTTGCAGAGTCCACTGGTGGTTTGTTAGTGAAACACATGTCAAAAAATATACAAAAATGATCCGAAAGCGCAACATCGACCACGTTTACATTAGAAATGTTCACCCCCTTTGTAACTAACAGGTCTAGAGTGTGCCCTCTGCTGTGGGTGGGGCCACTCACATGCTGAGTGAGACCAAAAGATTCAAGAACAGAACTCAGCTCTTTAGCATTTCTGTCATCAACATTATCCACATGAATATTAAAATCACCTGTAATAACTAAACTATCAAAATCTGTGCATACAACTGAAAGCAACTCTGTAAAATTATCAATAAAACTGTGACATGACTGCGGTGGCTTGTATAGGACAACGAAAAGTATTGGAGGAGATTGTTTTTGTTGTATTTTAAAAGACACATATTCAAAAGACAGAAACTTCCCAAGAGACATTCTATGGGAGACAAAGTGGTCTCTAAAAATGGCAGCTAAGCCTCCTCCTTTTTTGTTTTCCCGTATTTCAGATTCAAATTTGAAATTTGGTGGTGATGCTTCTATTAAAACTGCATTTTCTGTATTTTGGTCAAGCCATGTTTCAGCCATGAACATAAGATCAAGATTATAAGAACAAATAAAATTATTGATTAAAAAAGACTTGTTACAAAGAGATCTGACATTAAGTGTAGCAAGTTTCAAAGTTTCAGGATCAGCGGTTGTGGTCGGCTGATTCTTACACGGAACAAGAATTAGATTTTCCTGATTAGACTGATTAACTTCAGATATTTTTCTGTTATGTATTCTTTGTGTTATCACTAAGGGAATGGCACAGGTGGCTTCATGACAGGGCCCCAGCCGGGTCTCTCCTCTAACTAGACTGCCAGTGGCTGCGAAGCAGAGACCCTGTGCATCCTAGTGTTTAGAGAAAAGAGGGGAAGGGGAAGGCGGGGGAAGAGGATGGAGAGGCGGGTGGTTCTTGGGAGTTGGACGGGGGGGGTTGAAGGTGGATGGGTTTTTGGTGATGGGTTAGGGGAGGGGCAGGCTGAGTTGGGTGGTGGACGAGGGGGGAGTGGAGGTGGAGGGTTTCTTGGTGCTGAGTTAGGGGGGAGGTGGGCTAAATGAGCAGGAGGGGTGGAATACTTATGGGGTTAGAGGAAGGACGGGTGGATTTTGTGGGAGAATTTGAGTTGGACGCCCTAGGTGGCTTTGGAGGTACGTATGGGCAGTAGTTTTGAATGTTAGATAGGACTCTTGATCTGGCTACAGTGGGTGTGAGAGGAATAGTCTTCATCGCAGATCTTATCATGCCTGCCGAGTGTTCCGGTAATTCCAGTAGTGAAGGCGGGGATAGAAAACAAAGGGAAAGGTCGTCCTCATTTTCCCTAGATGGAGTGGATGTAGCGGGGGGGACCCAAGCCGGGTCCATGGAAGGTGATGAGGGAGTCTTTGGTGGAGACAGAGGTGGTTGAGGAACCCCCAGTACAGGCCTGTCTGTAGCCTGGAGCAATGGGGGAAGCTTCACGGGAGCTGTAGGTGGGGAAGGTGCTGCTGAAGATATCTCACATAGACATCAGCATTTCAATGAACTTATATCAATGGCCACAACTAATGACTCCCATAATAAGACTTCCATGGATTCAGCTAGTTTATTAATACTATCTATTCTTCAGTGAGGTCCCGGCCAGAACTGTTTGGGAACCAGTGACCTATAGAATTTGAAAAACCAGTGGTGTGGTGACCAGTGTTTTCCAATATTTGTTAATTCTTCATTAAGATAGAGAATTTACTTGTGCTGGACTTAAAGGTATCAAGGAGGATGTTGCCAAATTTTAGGAAAGAACTGCCTCTCCATATTTTTAACTAAACTCTCTGGTCTTATTTTACGAGCACGTATCACGAGAATGATTGACAAATAGGAGGACCAATAGTCTTGATGATCCACCTGAAAGTCCTCTTATATACTTTTTACATTCACTCGTGTTGTGCGTTCCTCATTTCTACTGTTCTTTCACTTGTGATAGACTGCTGGACAAATACAGGATCTCTGCATCTCATATGTTTAATGATCTGCAATGTCCTAAATAAACATTTACTTTTACATAGTATCTTTCTTGTTTGCGGAGTGTTGGACATTTTCAACATACGTTATTTTGTATATATTACAGTAATTTTCTTCTTTTGTTAAGCACTTTGATCTGAATGAACAGGGAAACACAAACCTTACAAAGTGAGTGACCTACCATCTCTCAAAAACGACACCTCTCAAACCAATGAGGATGTTGTAGGTGTGTCTGTGTCTGTGTCTGTGGGTATATGTGGAGGAAAAACACCAATCTCCCCGATCTTTAAGTGTTCCTGTCACTGTGTGGTAGGACTTCAGCTCGGCCAATCAGAGTCGAGCTTGTTTCTTTACAAAGTCAGGACGCAGTTCAGTGAAGAGAAGAGTTTGAAGAGAATGGCTCCTGTGCAGATGGTCTGTTGCCTCCTTCTCGTACATCTGGTCACGGGTGAGTTTCTGTCGTTGTGTCTAAGTCTTCTCCTGCTCTAACTTCTAACTTTTCTGTCGTTCAGTGAAGAGCAAAGATTCTCAGCCGTCGACAGATGGAGGTGCATCAGTAAAGACGACGCTCTTACCAGTGGTACTTGGAGAGAATGTGACTTTGCCGTGTTTCTGTAAAAACGATCTTCGAGGGAGACTTTACTGGTACAAACAGAGTCTGGACAACACTACGGCTGTGGTTTCTTCTTACTTTGAAACTGAATTTTACGGTGACTTTATCAACAACGATCGCTTCAAACTGGAAAAAGAAGACAATAAAAACAATCTGGAAATATCACAGGTCAAAATTTCTGATTCAGCTGTTTATCATTGCCTCAGTGCAGTGGCTCATCACATTCAGTTCTTAGCGTCTGTTCACGTCTTTGTAAAGACTTTGAACCCTGGACTCGGCGTCCATCAAACAGCGTCAGAACCAGTGGAAGCAGGACGTGCTCTGGTCCTTCGCTGTGAGGTAGATTCTGGAACGTGTCTGGGGCCACACAGGGTCCATTGGTTCAGACAGTCTGAAAAGTCTGCAGCAGTGCTCTACGGCGAGGATCAGTGCAAGAGCGATGAAACAAACACGACAAACTCCTGCTTCTACAACCTCCACATTCAGAACATGAGCTCAGAGCAAACTGGGACGTACTACTGCGCTGTGGACCTCTGTGGACAAGTCCTGTTTGGGAACGGGACCGAGGTCAGGGTCAGAGGTGAGTTTTATTTTAATCACCTTAGAAGCTCAGGGGCCGTATTCTTAAAGATTCTTAGTGCTAAGAGTTGCTCCTAGTGGCCAAAATCTAAGAATATACTTAGAATCTTGACGTACTCTCCCCTAAAAAGTGAAGAGTCGATCCTAGTTAAGAAAAAAGCTACTCCTAAAGAATCCTAGCTCTTAAGAGACCTCCTAAGTTGAGATCTCTAAATTGTAGAAAGGAGGACTTTAAGCAACTTAAGAGTTCCCTAAGAGCACAATATGGAGGATGGAAGAGGCAACCCTCGTTACACAAAAGTTAAAAGAAATGGTAAAAGTTGAAAGAGATAAAATGACCAGCCTGGCAATTAATATAAGCAAATAAATTTTACTTTCTGTGTGTTAATACTGTGCCGGGCCTAAGTTTTCACAAATTCTGTTTGATTGTTTAAAAGTAAAACTTACTACTCACAGTATTAATTTTACATTGACATATCTATTTATCTATTATTATTTACAATGACACAGTCTAAGACTAGATTCCATGATTAAGTTTATCCATTTGAAGCTCCTTATTTTGCCCATCATCACAAAAAGTATGTTATCTCAGGCCCATACTTCCCAGAGGGAAGTATATACATCTCTGTGATTTTTAGCTTGCTGCTTTAAACAGGAACTGAAACCATCTATAACTGAAGGTGTGATTTCCATTGCTGAATTTCCTGCCAAACCTTTACGCTTTTTGAAGAAATAATTTTCTTTCAGCAGAGGTGGTCACTCAGGACAAACAGACAAACTAAAGAACACAAACAAAATAAATATTCCTGTATTTATTTTTCTTTCTTTTGGGAAAACAAAAACATATATAATGCAATATAATAGTCATGCATGAAGTAGAATTCAAAACCACAGTCTATACCAACTGTATACACAACACACAGATGATATAAGACAGACAAGACAACACACAGACCCAAACACTCTCTGACCCTACACCTCTCTCCTACTACTCATTAAATTCAACTCAATTTATTCTTGTATAGCCCTAAATCACAACAGAAGTCATCTCAGAGGACTTAACAAAACCATTGAAATCACCAACACAGATCAGAGAATCAACAGTTAAGACACAAAGGCAATATAGAACAAATGTTGATAAATGTCATACATGTTGTAGAATGTTAAAGTGTCCTGGATCATCACCACAGTCCTTTTTGTTAGACACAGACTGTCCAACAGACCCTCCTGCATGGGCAAGCAAAAACTCTGAAACCCAGTGGGAGAAAAGTGAGAAGAGACCCACATTGAAAGAGGGATCCACTCCACACGGCCGGACGAGCAGTAGATCCAGGATTCAGACTGTGGAACGAGGACTGAGGCTGTAGATCTAGGACTCAGACTGTACAACGAGGACCAAGGCCAAGCAGCGGCCGCAGAACGTGGACAGGTCCGGTGCAGGACTGAAGAACTCCCAGGCGGGTCGGGCGGGGCAGTCCGCAGGTGTAGATGGAGGAGGCTAGGCTCAGAGGTCCCGTCATCGCGCCATGAAACAGACAATGGGACAACTGATGAATAGCAATGAACAGACTACAGTCAAAATCCTAATAATGCAAAGAGATAAAGTAGGAAGGAGGAGAGGATAGTGCTCAAACTGACTCCCTGCGCAGCTTTACTGACAATCTGAGACGCACATTAAAAATAAGTCACTTTCTGTCTTTGAATTTTTAAATGTAATCAGCTTTGAACATGTTTTACTGTATTTGATAATTATTTCTAAATTTGCCAATGGGACAAGCAAACTTTTTTTTTTTAAATTATATATAATTAAAACAATAAGAAATGTATTAGTACTGCCCTTGAAAAAAGAAACTTGTCCGATTGGAATTTGTTTGTGTTAAAGGTTTTAGTTTTGTTAAATACTTAAATCCAGCAGTAACTGTCTTATATTTTATCGGTTTTGTCCTGTACCAATCGATTTATGCACATAATTCTGTGTAATAGTCTCACATTTGCTCTGACATTTCTGGGAAAATAAATGATGACAATTTCCATAATATTCTACCGACAATTTGATCTTTATACGCGTTTAGACTCTTGTGCCAATATCACCGATAGTAAGTGTTTCAAGCTCTTTAAACTACTTCTTATAGTGTCTTCTCCACTGTCTATGAACACAAGATGAATAGAATGGAGTCTTTGCAGCTGGTTCTGTCTCATCTCTTCCTGGTTTTGCAGGTGACACAGTCGTCTATGTTTTGGCTGCAGCTCTGGGCTTCTCTTCTGTCGTGGTCGTGTTGTTGACCATCACAGTGTTCGTCACGATGAAGAAATACAAAAAGCAGAACACAGGTACGAATCCATGTTGTTTAAAAAGACACATAATATAAATGTCTTTTTAAAATACTTGTTGAAATGATTTCCGTGTCTATAACAGACCTGTAGTTCGTCCACAGTCATATCAGGACATTCTGCTGTGAATTGGCACTTACACATCTTCCCACCCCTTCTGTCTTATCACTGCCTTTAAAAACTAGTAATTTTATGATGTATGTATGTTACTTTCAGCAGCAGTATTTGAAGACAGCGGTTCATCTACAATGGCCAGAAACAAAGAGGTAACGTGTTGGTCATCTCTCCTAAATGAAGTTGATACATTTGTTTGTTATGTTTTTCTAACCTTGTGAAAGAACATGTAAAATCACTACTCAATAATAGATAGATTCACCAATATAATGGTTCGAATGACCGATTTAACACCGGTTGGCGCTGTACCAACATAGCCGTCTTCATGTGACATCCTGCTCGGAAGTCAGAAGATATGTAGGGAAGGGCCTGGCTAGTTCTGTGATGGGAGACCTCTGGGAACACCAGGTGCCACAGTGATACAGTATAAAGGTAGAAGTTTCAGAAGAAGAGATTCCTTATTATACCTTTTACATCTGCATTTGGAAATGTATGGTGAGAACAACCCGTTGACTCACGGCTCTGTTGAGGACGCCAAGTTTGAGGGCTTTCTTCAGAGCTACATAGACGTCTACCTCCAGGATTCTCCAGACCGATACTCAAGGGCAAAAACATGTCTTTCCACTTAGTTACAGCTGCTGCAGTGACGTATCTGGTCAGAATAACTTGATGCAATAACAGATTTAGATCAATTGGACACATTTTTAACCTTTAACATGTTGCATACTTCTGTCTTTTGCTCAATCGGAGTGATTTTATCTGCGCCAAATGTGACATATACGTTTCTCCAGTGTGAGATTACTAAAGCGTATCTTATCTTATCTTATCTCTGATCGAATCTTACTGAAATTTCCGAGTTGTGGGACAAATAAAGGATCTCTTAATCTTATAAATACCAACTTGATCAATATGCCAATACACTGTAATGGGATAAGACAACCTTTCTTTGTCTCGTTTCAGTTTCAGTTTAGTTTATTTTAAAGGGGACAATGCAATTTAATAAAACACATGATTAAACATTAGTTAAAAAAAGCCAGAATTAGCCAAGGAGGCTATTTTTCATCTGTAGTCCCCTGGCCTTTATGTTCAAAAGCCATTAAAATATCCCCCGTGATATGGGATTGTGGTTGTTGCAGAGCATATTATTAGGAAAAGGAACAAACAGCTGTATACTGTATTTTAGAGAAGTCAAATTATTTAAATGTTATTTTGAATTAAATGTAGTTAAAAACCAACGTGTCCCAAGTGTGTTCTGAAAAAAGGCAATATAATAAATCCTAACTTTCTCTTCCAGAATCCAACAGACAACCTCCACTACGCTGCTTTGAACGTCAAGAAGAAGTCCAGACGCCAGAGGAAGGTGGAGCCGACAGACTGTGTGTACTCCAGTGTGCGCTTGCCCCACGACAACGTTCTTCTCTGAACATTGAGTCAAACATCGACAACATTTGACCTTTGGATTAAACTCACCCCCTCCCCGCCTGGCAACCTCTTTATTCCTGCACCACACAGCCTCAGTCCTCGTTCTACAGCCTGAGTCCTGGATCTCTGTCTGTGGCTGCGGACTCCTCTGTCTATATGTTTCTCCTGTTTTTCCCATCTGTTTTCTCTTGAGTCGTTCCTTGCAGATCCAGGAGAGTCTAAGAACAGTTTATGGACAGTATCTTCCTATGGTCCAATGGCTTCTATGTTTTTTATTGTTATTGTATTTCCTGTGTTGGATCTTTTTGATTATCTGATCTGTTGTTGAGGAAATAACTTTGAAATTCCTCCGAGACGACTGCTGCTGTGATTTATAGCTTTACACATATAAGAAGAAATGAATTGAAATGATTAACTGATGTCATTTTGTTATCTATGTTGTGAGTAATTCTTAACATCAAAGAAAATCTGTGCACGGATCCATAAAAAAAGATATTTTCTACTTAAAGGGATGATATTTGAATTTGAATTTACTTTATACATTACTTTATACATGTCCCCAGACAAATCACATGTACACATCATGTTTGACCTTTTCAGAGTGGACTTATTAAGAGAAAATACAACAGACGTTACGATTTTAGAGTAAAACATCCAATCAGAGAGTTTTGGTTGATTGGTGAAATGTAGCTGGTCTTGACCGTTACAAAATTCACAAACAAAAAATAGCACAGCATTTGTTCGAATTACCACAGATACAATCAGGGTGGGATTGTACCGAGGGGAGGGTGGATTGCATGAAAAAATCAGATTCTAGAAAACAACAGTGATTATTATGACTTTAAAAAAACACTTTACATACAATCGCTTTAAGAAATTATTTCACACACTAAAACATGACATTTCTAGTTATGTTTAGGGCCTCATACAGTACGTCTTTTGCTAACTGAGAACTATTTGGGACTTCTTCGAAACATAGATGCGTGCTTTGGAATCGGCCTGAGGATGTGGCAAAGACTCAACTGTGTCAGCTGCATTTCCTTCAGAAGGTTTTCTTCAGAGCTGAGACAAACCTCCCAACAATGCTTCTCTTACAGACGCTGTTTATTGCGGGTAAGATTTTACCACAACTTTTTTAAAACAGCTCAGTTTCAACTACAACTCTTGTCTTTCTTTCAGGTCTTGTCTTGAAAGATTCTTGCTTCCATGTGAGTGGAAGTGACGTGAGTCTGAATTTTGGCGAGCACATAACCCTGGCTTGCTCGCCAAGTGAAAAACCCGACTTGTTGTTTTGGTTTCGGCAAAATCTCGGACAGAAACCCACTCTTGTGTCCTCGCTGTACACCTTCGACCAGAGGGGAATCTTCTACAGCACGTTCAAGGACAACCCACGCTTCAGTCTGACTCCTGACTTCCACTTAATCATTTCAGATTTGCGAGTTTCTGACACAGCGACGTACTATTGCGCTTCGAGCCAACACTACGAGCTGAAATTCGCCAATGGGACGAACGTGATTGTCAAAGGAACTGGCTTAAACACAGGAGGAAGCAACGATGTAGAAGCCGCTGGACTGTCCCAGGTTCTCAACTGCAGCGTCAGGACGGAGAGCTGTGTCGGATTGCGAGGGATTCACTGGTTTAAACAGTTTGAAGAATCGATGATGGGCGTCGTCTACGGTGTGTGTGGGAGCGACATGGAGAATTCCAACACCTGTTTGTACGAGCTCCCAGTTCAATATGTGAGCTCAGAGCAGACTGGGGGAGCCTACTGCGCTGCTGTCACCTGCGGACACCAGCTCCTTGGGAATCAAACCAAAGTGAAGGGTGAGTTAATATGCAAGTGCTCATTTTGTATTTTAAAACGTATGTATTTCGGATGCAAAAACAACAAAATGATTTGAAATTGGGTTGGATGTAGCCGGGTCTTAGCCATCCTTATAGGCCAGTCAAGTATTATTTCCCTACATGTACGTCTGGGTCTGGTCCCAGTGTCTGCATTTACATCGGTTAAATCCCCTCCGACAAATCAGCAAGCAGGGGAGGCGGGTGTTGTAGTTTGGTGTCGGTGACGTCAAGAGTTTGTACTGAATTTGCTGGTTGTAGTTTGCCGGAGAGAGTGATAGTAAAGTAATTCGTTCTGGTTCAATCCAAATATCAAGAAATTGAAGCCGGAGCAAGAGGAATGTTTAGCAAATATCATTGAAGCAAAAATGTCGTGGCTCTACTCCCCACAGGCTCTGTTAGTGGGAAACGAGATGACTAAAGCTAGGCTAAATGCTAAAGCTAAGCTAAATGCTAGAGACTCACTCGGCCGCATTACATACGTCACAGTAAACTAAGATCCAATTGTTTCAATCTGCAGAAGGAAATAGCCCCACCCACTTGTTAACGGAGCCCAATAGATCAAATCCAGAACTTAGTACGAAATGAAATGAGTACATACATACAATGGTATGGTAAGACTAGGCTAGGTTGGCTGAAAATAAGATAAGAGCAGTGGACACTTATTGGGCTTCAACCCCTCTTACGAATTCACACAAAACGAAACACAATCACCCAAACACTTTCCGACCAAACAGACCCTCAACATCTCTCTCTTAACCTCTCGCTCTATGTTAGTGACTATCTTTCCTCCCCACAGTGTTTTTAAAATTAAGAAGATTAAATGGCTGGGATTCAGATGGCTCCTAAACTTATAAAAAAGTAATGAAAAACTCATTTAAAAGTATATTTAAATAAAAACGGGTCCCAGAGTTTGATTGACACCTTTGCGTTCTAGAATTTGAAATCTATTCTGATGCATTCCCCCGATTCCACGTGGCTCTCGGACCTTTTCCCATCTATGTCTGTCCACCACACCGAGAGTCTATTTTGAGTCTATTTTTTTTTTATTTAGAGTTATAGAATGAAAGCTATTCTCATGTCAACAATGAAACCAGACGGTAATAACTTTTTTTATACAATTATGAAATAAACCTTTTGATTGATCTAAATTAAGCTGAAATCCACACTTTGAGATATTTCCATGTTTTCCAGTTTCCCCCAGACCCCCCCAGATGGCCTCCCTGTGGGGGGCTGTGGCCTTCACCTACGCTCTGCTGTTTGCTCTGACTCTGCTCCTGTGCTGTTTAAACCAGAGGAATAAAACTGGTGAGTTATCAGTGAGTTTTTAGCCATAAAACTTTACGGTTTTAAGCATCTACTTTTCTTACAGAGACGTGCAGTGGATCAACTCCATACAAGACCAGAACCAAGGTGAGTTTGATGTCCTTACATGGTCCTTACAAGGTCCTCACATGGTCCTTACATGGTCCACTCATGGGCCGTACATGGTCCACACATGATCCTCTCATGGTCCTTACATGGTCTACTCATGGTCCTCACATGGTCCGTACATGGTCCTCAAATGGTCCTTACATATTCCTTACATGGTCCTCACATGGTCCTTACATGGTCCTTACATGGTCCTCACATGGTCCTCAAATGGTCCTGACATAGTCCTGACATGGTCCTCATATGGTCCTTAAATGTCCCACACATGGTCCTTACATGGTCCTCGCATTGTCCACTCATGGTCCTTACATGTTCCTTACATGGTCCTCACATGTTCCTTACATGGTCCTCACATGTTCCTTACATGGTCCACACATGGTCCTTACATGGTCCTCATGGTCCACTCATGGGCCTTACATGGTCCTGACATGGTCCTCACATGTTCCTCACATGGTCCACTCATGAAAAATAAGGTAGCATCTTTTTCACGAGGTTGTAATGACACAGTTCTTTCTCCATACCAGAATTTCACTGCTGGTTTGGGTCTTGGGTCAGCGTTGTGTGTTGGTTCTATTCCATGTGAGAAGCACTAAACTAAACAACATTCTCTCTTATTCCCTCAGACTTTCCACAGAGATGTGCTTCTCTACGTGGCCACCAGGGGGACGGAGAGTGGCGCCTCCAGGAGACAAAAGGACGACACCTGGAGCGAGTGTGTCTACTTCAGCGTCCAATAAGAAGACAGAACGGGTCCAGGATAACAACAGTTGTGTTTACCTTAAAGTTGCAATATCTGAATTTATTTTTGTACTCATTACACAAATTCAATCCATATCCATGCAGTGCATTAGGATATACGTCCTTTTGAAGAAAAAGTAGCACCGATTTGTACTGGCGTGTCATTTTATTTTAGATCGAGTTTTTGTGAAACAAGGAAGAGAATGTGTTTTGGGTCCAGATTGTGACCAATCACAGCCAAAATAAATGTACTGAGATTTTTTATGAGTTTAATGCCTTAAAGTTGGTCCTAAATGATGGAATGAGCTGCTCCTGTGTGTTAGTCCGATTCACTTCCTGTTTTTAAGTCTCGTCTTAAGACTCGTTCTCATTGGCTTTTAAGTGATTTTGAATAGATTTTTTGCTGTAAATAGTGTGTGTTTTGCCACTGCTTTATATTTTCCAATTGTATTTTTTTGTTTGTACAGCACTTAACCTTGTTGTTTTTTATTAGTGCTTTATAAATAAACTGGACTGGATTGTATGATTTGTATTTGTTTATTTGGATGGCACAGTGTGTATTTATGAACAGTTCATGAATATTGCCTTTGGTGTGATGTGGGCTATACAAATAAACCTGCCTTGCCTTTCCTATCAAGTAGTTTCCATCCCTACATTTTTTAATCATATTTTGTATTGTGTACAAGTGATGGCCTCTCACCAAAGTACATCTGAGACACATTAGAGCCATATGAACAAACTCGGATTCTGAGGAGCACAGGGACTGGACTCCAGAGTCAGATTTCAGATTTATGCTGCTAGAATCTGAAACTGTCTTCCTAAAAATGTGAGACAGGCTTCTTCTCTGACAATGTTCACATCCGGGATGAAAACAGTTCAATCTGGAAAGACTCAGCAAAGATGGCATTAGAATGTTTGTTGTCAGATGCATGAATAAACACCGGCAGACTTAGATTGAGACTATTATATTTATTGATAAGGAGATCAGGAGGAGGTGGGTTGCTGCTCAAGCTCAGTGCAGGAGTGTAGAGGGAAGGAGTCAGTGGCAGCATGGCATCTCTTTGGTCTTCCCGTCTCAATTTGCGCATAAGCTTAATTTCTGTTTCGCTCCAAAAACTTTACTAATTGTATGCGCTGTGATTGTTAATGATTTGAATGCCTTGTAATGTTTCTAACTTGTTTTGTCCAGCACTTTGAGTTTCTGTATATCTATTCGTGCTAAACAAATGAATCATAATTCATAAATAGAACATTGTGGTGGTAAACAGAGCTTGCTACCTTCACTTGAGGTAAAACTTTCCACCGGTGGAAAGTAAACACAGGAAGAGCGAGTGGCCCGAACCACCACCACCACCACAATGCATCGCCGCTGTCATCGTTCCCATGGCGACTACACAAATAAAACCTGCCTAATGCACAATGCTGGGATGCTGTCGCCAGGTACACAGCAGCGGCAGACTCTTGCACATCCAGATAAGGCTGTATTTATGTGTGTTTAAAAGTCAAAGGTGCAGTTCTGTGAGAGGACAGTGGACAAGGCGGCTGTGGTTTCAAACAGGAAGCAAGAGCTAAGACGAGGCATCGCTATCCGAGCTTTAGCGGCGTCTGTCGTGTAGAAATGTACGATGTGGTGTTTTTGTGGTCACCTACTCTGTGTTGTTTTCATTACCTCTGTGTGAAAGTGCTGCTGTCTTCTGCTGTACAGTTCTTCATGGACACATATGATGCCAAACTGTCTTGTTTCCTCATACAAAACAGTGCTTTTAAGCTCAATCCAAGCTGATATTTAGTTCTGGCTTCTTCTTCTCTCGCTGTGGGCAGACCTGGTTCTCTGTATGAACCAGGTCTGTCCAGACTAAGGCTAACGAGCCACATGCAGTTATTTTATAATTTTGTTAAGTCCTAGAGAGAACTTTTGTGATTAAAGGCAATACAAAATATATATAATTGATTTGTCAGTGGCCCTTTGTCTTGCTGACCGGGGGCTTGCAAACAGTGGCTTGCTCACAGTATCTTACTGACTCACAGTAAGCAAAGAGATGTCTTCCAAATTCATATATTGCACTAATGTATCTGTGGTTTAAAGTCAAGATTAGTACAAATAAAGAATACATTTGGCTTCATTCACACTGACCAAAAATATAAAGGTATTTGAAAACAATAAACATTTGACTTGTTATTATGTTACAAAGGACCATGTTTATGCTAATTAACATCGTCAAAATATGTCAGAGTTGTTAAGAGGGGTGGATTATCTCATCAAAGGAGAAGTGCTCAACGGAAGCAGTTTTGTGAAAAATATTTAAGAGAAATGATTCCAACAAGGCTCTGGTGTAAGAAGCATTACACCACACACAACAGGACAGGACACACACAAACCCACACAAATGCACAATCGCACAAACACGTACAAACGCACACACACACACACACACACAAATACACGTAAAACACACCCATATATACAGTACACACACATACACATGAATACACACACACACACACACACACACACACATACACATAAACATACACACGCACAAGCACACAAGCACACATACACACAAAAACACAACCATACATACAGTACACACATATAAATACACACACACACACAAATACACGTAAAACACACCCATATATACAGTACACACACATACACATGAATACACACACACACACATACACATACACATAATCATACACACGCACAAGCACACAAGCACACTTACACACAAAAACACAACCATACATACAGTACACACATATAAATACACACACACACATACAAACAAAAACACACCCATACATACAGTACACACACACACACACAAATGCACACATACATACACACACATACAAACGCACATATACTTGCAAAACACACACATACATACAGTACACACACATACACATACAGACACACACACATAAACACACACAAACACACACACACGCATAACCACACCCATACATACAGTACACATACATACACATACATACAGTACACACGCATACACGTAAACACACACACAAAACACATAACCACACCCATACATACAGTACACACAGGTTTTTAATTGGTTTACCAGGACCACAAATCAGAGCGACTGTGGAGTCTCAACCACAGGTGCGCGTTCCTCTTCCATCTGCTGCTGACCTGCTCCTGTTTGCTTTGGGGAAATGCAACACAATTTGCTCAGAAAATTTCAATCACTTTTTTTGTATTTATTTTTTTACAAAACTTTGTCACACATTTTACCCACACTGTGAGTTTTTTAATTATTGTTATTATTATTATCAAGACCCACCACATTTCTGGTAGTAGACCCAAATTTGTGGGTTGCAACGACCTAGAAACCAAAGAGCCAATCAGGAGAAGTGCTGAGATGTGTTTCGTTTTTAATTGAAATATTATAAATTAATTAAATTGGAAATAATAATAATGGTTAATATGAGGACCTTTTACAGGGTTGGTATTGACACAAATATATACAGACTATTAAAATCATCTATACCTCTGTAAAAACACACAGAGATAATTCAATCTGAAGAGACCAAAGACACGATAAATACATTAAAATGATTTATTTGTTTGGCGCATTGACCCCGGCAGTGACACTTGCAGCTATGAGATCGATTGCAGCTGAGATGATCTCAGATCCCCCGGGGTCAATCACTGGTGGTGGCTAGAGTATGGTGTGAATGGGGCGTAGGCGGAGCAGGAGCCGGAGTGGGAGCCTAGAGCGGGAGCCAGAGCGGGAGCCAGAGCGGGAGCCAAGAGCCAGAGGGGGTGCTGGGGAGGTGGTGGGTGTTTAAGAGCCTCAGGAAGCGTTGTTTGTCAGAAGTGGCTGCCTTTTAAACTGCCCGCTTTGCTCTGAGAGGGTTGGCAGGAGGCTGGCCTGGCTGTGTGATTGGCTGAGGCTCGAGGCTGGCAGAGCTGTGTGATTGGCTGAGGCTCGAGGCTGGCAGAGCTGTGTGATTGGCTGAGGCTCGAGGCTGGCAGGCACTCGGTCTTTCAGTCTGAACATCCGCTTGAGCTTCATTTCAATCTGAAGAGACCAAAGACACGATAAATACATTAAAATGATTTATTTGTTTGGCGCATTGACCCCGGCAGTGACACTTGCAGCTATGAGATCGATTGCAGCTGAGATGATCTCAGATCCCCCAAAAGAGGAAGCCACGCTATGTGTGCCGGGGAATGCGCAGGCCTCCCGTGGGAAGCTGCCTATCTGGAGGCGTGGGAGCCTTGCATCGGGGCAGCATTGCATAGAGGCAGCATTGCATAGAGGCAGCATTGCATAGAGGCAGCATTGCATAGAGGCAGCATTGCATAGAGGCAGCATTGCATAGAGGCAGCATTGCATAGAGGCAGCATTGCATAGAGGCAGCATTGCATAGAGGCAGCATTGCATAGAGGCAGCATTGCATAGAGGCTGCATTGCATAGAGGCTGCATTGCATAGAGGCTGCATTGCATAGAGGCTGCATTGCATAGAGGCTGCATTGCATAGAGGCTGCATTGCATAGAGGCTGCATTGCATAGAGGCTGCATTGCATAGAGGCTGCATTGCATAGAGGCAGCATTGCATAGAGGCAGCATTGCATAGATTGCATAGAGGCAGCATTGCATAGATTGCATAGAGGCAGCATTGCATAGATTGCATAGAGGCAGCATTGCATAGATTGCATAGAGGCAGCATTGCATAGATTGCATAGAGGCAGCATTGCATAGATTGCATAGAGGCAGCATTGCATAGATTGCATAGAGGCAGCATTGCATAGAGGCAGCATTGCATAGAGGCAGCATTGCATGGAGGCAGCATTGCATAGATTGCATGGAGGCAGCATTGCATAGATTGCATGGAGGCAGCATTGCATAGATTGCATGGAGGCAGCATTGCATAGATTGCATGGAGGCAGCATTGCATGGAGGCAGAATTGCATGGAGGCAGAATTGCATGGAGGCAGAATTGCATGGAGGCAGAATTGCATGG